ATGTATTTTTTTTCATATCGGAGGCTTCTACGACACTTGGAACAGGCGCCAGAAGGGCGACGACTAGCAGGCATGCTGCTGTCAGTTGCTGTAGGTGCGGCGTGGCCGAGGACGCGGCGGCAGACGAGGACGAAGCAGGTCATCTCGGAGGTCTGTGTCCGTTGCCGCACGTCCAAGGAGACGGCGCTGCATCGAGCCTGGGGCTGCGATGGGCGTGCGCAGGAGCGCCCAATTTATAAGATGACGGAGCACCTGGTGGCCAAGGCGCATGTGCAGGGAGAAGCAGAAGCATGTTTCTGGACACGTGGGTTGATACCTGCCAAGTGGGTTGCAGTGGATGCGCCATTGAGTATTCCTGACTGGCAAACCACAGGCTTCAGGTATGGAGATAATTGTGTTGGTGTCGGCAGCGTTGACCGCCCCTTGTTTGGGTTCGGCGACGCAAGTTGCGGCATCGAGACCAGTCATCCAATCTTGAGGCGAGTGGGAGTTGGCCTGGCAGTGTTCACGGGCATCGATACGAGTGGCGACGCAGCCTTTGGGTTATGGGGAGCACTGCCAGCTAGTCGCCAGGTGGTTGCCCGTGGTGAGCTGCAGGCATTGCTCCTTTTCTTGGACGGCAGTGACGGTAGAGCGGTATTCGTGACCGACAACGAGGCGGTGTCGATAGGTTGGCATTGTTTCAGATATGAGAAGCCCGACGGGCCTGACGCTGACCTGTGGTGGCAGATCGGACGAGTGTTGGCACGGAAACCAACCCTGTCGTGCGCAGTATTGTTTGTTCATTATCATCAGGATGTGATTGTCGTGGATGAGCGCACGGCACCAGAGTTTCTGATCAAGAGGAACGCGCTGGCCGACATGTACGCAGGAGTGGGCGCTCAGCTCGCTAGACTGCCAAATGCCACGCGTTTCAGGTACCACCAGGCAAAGCACATGGCGTACCTCGTGAGGCTGCGGATCCTGCAGAGCCAGATCGAGGTGTTGAAGGCTGAGGAACTTGAGAGAGCCCAGTCGGGGCTGAGACGTGAGAAAAAGGCTCCCGTCGCTTGCCCGCCTGCCCCCTCTGTTTGTGCTATGTTCAGTTCTCAGCATTCATTGTGTGCGAATGATCCTCGCAGGTGTAGTAGGTGCAGGGGGTCGACCACT